CGGCGTGTGGGCAGCTGAGTTGGGATTGGCGGAGGAGGACTATAAGGGAGGAGAGAGACGGCATGCACCAGGAACATCTAAGGGGAACATCTATCTAAGAGGAACACCTGAGCAGCCCCCGAGAGAGCCGGCCGGCAGTGTGCCGCTCCCCCGCGGAAGTGGGGAAAGTGGCCAGGGGGAACCGCCCTTCCACGGAGGTGGAAGGGATGGTAGCCAACCCGGGAAGAACCAGCAGCAAACCCGGGGAGGGCCGAGCAGACAAAAGAACAGCACAGGGTCCTGTGTCGTTCCTCCACGAAGACGGGGAGCGACACACCCGGGTCTCCCCCTTGGGAGGCGGGGCCCAAGCACTTGGATCATCTTCCACTGCTTTCCCAGGTGCATCAGCAGGGAGCTGGATTGGAAGCAGAGCAGCCGGGACTCGAACCAGCACCTATACAGGATGCCGGTGTCACAGGCAGAGCTTCACCTGCTGTGCCACAGCACCGGCCCCTCTCGATTCAGTTCTGACGCAATCTACCCAGAGAGAATGCTGGGCTGAGGGTCTCATGCTGCTGCTCCCTCTTCAGATGCCAGCCCTGACCTGTGCTTCTGCCTCACCTGCTACAAACCTGGGTCTCTACAGCCACTCCCTCGGGTTGGATAAATTGGGTAGAACAGCTCATAGAATCCAGGAGAATTGCATATCCTTGTTTACTGTGAATGATGGAAGAACTCTCTCTCTGTCTGTCTCTGTCTCTCTCTCTCTCCCTCTTTTCCTCCCTCCATCCCTCCCTCTCTTGCTTTCTGAGTAGATTAGCACAGCCCTTGTGGGAAACGGTGTGGAGGAGACTCAGAGAGCTGAAACCAGAGCTCCCCGAGCCAGGGTTTGGCCCCGCAGTTAAAACCTGACTCAGGACACCTACATCACATATTAGAATGCCTGAGTTCGAGTCCTGGCCACTCCAGTTCCAATCCAGCTCCCTGCTAATGCACACCTTGGGAGGCAGCAGGTAATAGTTCAAGGACTTGGGTCCCTGCCACCCACATGGGAGACCAGGATTGAGCTCCCGGTTCCTGGCTTCCGCCTGGTGCAGGCCTCTGGGGAGTGAACCAGCAGAATGAGGGTCTCTGTCTCTCTGCCTCTCAAATACAAATGTAAGAAACGGACGGGTCACTAAAACCTACAGAACATTCTAGAGTCACAGGGAGGAAATGAGCACCAGTACCTGGAACCGCACAGATCAACAGTGGAGACATCTTCCAGGTAAGAGAAGCCAGACAGGAGAGGAGAGATCAGCGCGGTTCCACCTGCAGGAAGCACCCAAGACAGGCCTGAGCCTCGAGGGGGTGCCCATTGGTTCCCGGGGACGGGGCAGCCAGAAAGCAGCAGTGGATGCTGGTTTTCCGTTTCAGGCAGTGGGAAAGTTCTGGAGCCAGAGAGTTGCCACGGCCCCTGCAGGAAAAACGAAGTGCCACATCCCAGTGCCTGGTTTCATTCCAGGCTCCGCTCCTGATTGGAGCTCCCTGCTTATGGAGGCAGCAGGCGATGGCTCAAGTACTCGGTGCCTGCCCACCACGTGGGAACCCCGGATAGAGTCCCCATGTCCTGGCTTCGAGCCCCAGAGCTGGCCTTAGAGGTTGTGGGCATCTGGGGGGTGGAGCAGTATGGATAGAAGCTGTCTGCCTCTCAAAGAAAAAGTAGAAACTTTGTCCATTTGTGGCATTTTCAGGTGGGGCCTTGGGAGGTGTTTAGAGTTAGGTGAGGTTGTCTTTAGGTGGAGTCCTCATGATTGAGTCCTGTGTCTTTCCCAGAAGAAAGAGATCCGAGGACTCCCCCCCCCCCAACACGTGTCCTCTGTCTCACCACATGACAGCCAGGGCCACCTCAGGACTATGCCAGCGAAAAGGCTGTCACCATGGCACAGGCCCCTTGGCCTTGCACCTCAGACACCAGCCAACACAGACCTCCTTCCTTGATGAAGTCCACCTGCCTTGGGTAATTCATTACAGCAGGCACCTTAACACATGGAGCAGGCACCTAACAGGTGGAGCAGGCACCTAACAGGTGGAGCAGGCACCTAACAGGTGGAGCAGGCACCTAACAGGTGGGCAGGCACCTAACAGATGGAGCAGGCACCTAACAGGTGGATCAGGCACCTAACAGGTGGATCAGGCACCTAACAGGTGGGGTAGGCACCTAACAGGTGCAGTGGGTACCTAACAGGTGCAGCAGGCACATTAACAGGTAGAGTGGGCACCTACCAGGTGCAGAGGGTACCTAACAGGAACCTGCAGAGCTCATCCCTAGAAGGGCCGCGGGGTTTGTCTGCCGGGAAGGACAGGGGGTGGTGGGGGAAAGTTTTTTGTTTTCCATTACGAGTCATGCAGAAGGATTCCCTATTCAAAAACTCAGCTTAGAGAAAGGACCAGAAAATGCCAGAGGGAGGAGGCTCGGCCAATCCCGAATCCCACCCAAGCATGCGGCTGCCCTGCCACAGTCCCCACGCCCCCCACCTTGCGTGTTCCTCCTCAGAGGCAGGGGGATTTCAGAACTCTGCACCTCCCTCCTCCCTGGCACCATTGCTGAGGGTCCCTCTTGCCCCACACGGACTAGATATCCTTACTAGTTTTTATTTTTTGACAGGCAGAGTGGACAGTGAGAGAGAGAGAGAGAGAGAGAGAGAGAGAGAAAGGTCTTCCTTTGCCGTTGGTTCACCCTCCAATGGCCGCTGCGGCCGGCGCACTGCACTGATCTGAAGCCAGGAGCCAGGTGCATCTCCTGGTTTCCCATGGGGTGCAGGGCCCAAGCACGTGGGCCATCCTCCACTGCACTCCCTGGCCACAGCAGAGAGCTGGTCTGGAAGAGGAGCAACCAGGACAGAATCCGGTGCCCCGACCGGGACTAGAACCTGGTATGCCGGCGCCACAAGGTGGAGGATTAGCCTAGTGAGCTGCGGCGCCGGCCTAGTATTTTTTTTTAAAGGTTTATTTATTTATTTTATTTGAAAGGCAGAGTGCCAGAGAAAGAGAGAGAGGGAGAGGGAGAGATCAATCTTCCATCTATTGGTTAACTCCCTAAATGCCTGCAACAGCCAGGGCTGGGCCAGGACAAAGCCAGGGGCCAGGACCTCCATCTGGGTGTCCCAGGATCACCTGTTGCCTTCCCAGGCGCATTTGCTGGAAGCTGCACTGGAAATGGAGCAGTGGGGACTTGAACTGGTGTTTGGTATAGGATGCTGGTGGATAAGGGGCTGCACCACAGTGCTGGCCCCAACGCCTCTCCACACCAACCTGGACCCCTCCCCTCAAGGAAAAGCCTTTTCCTGGCACCCAGCACTTGGAACAATGTTTATTTGTTTGAAAGGCAGAAAGACAGAATGAGTGAGATCTTCCATTCACTGGTTCACTCCCCAAATGCCCACCATAGGCAGGGCTGGGCCAGGCTGAAGCCAGGAGCCAGGAGCTCCATCTGGGTCTCCCGTGTAGGTGACAGGGGCCCAGGCACTTGAGCCCTCACTGCTGCCTCCCAGGGAATGCATCATCAGGGAGCTGGATTGGAAGCAGGGCTCATGTCCTCCAAATTGGGAGGCAGACATCCCAAGTGGCCTCCATGCCCGCCCAAAACTAACTTCCTTCCTTCTTAACGCTGAATTTTATTCCATTGCACGCAGCCACCACTTTCTGTTGTCCATTCATTCACCTGCTGATGGGCGCTTTCACTTTTGAGTAATTATGAATAAGGCCTCTATGCAAATAGTGTGCACAAGGGGGAAGTTCTGCACTGACATCTGTTGAAGTCATCTCTCTACAGATTTTTGGAGATCCCCTTGGAATCTTGGGTTTTGTAAACCGAGAGCTCAAATTTTCGAAAGTCAGGATTCCTTTCTCTGCCACAGTATCCTCCACCTGAGGTTACTTTTATCAAAGTCATCGTGAATCATCTTCATTTTTTTTTAAGTAAAAACTAGATTTCCCAGAAGGTTAAGAAGAAAGTAAAGAGGGGCTGGTGCTGCAGCGTAGCGGGTAAAGCTGTTGCCTGCAGTGCCAGCATCCCATATGGGTGCCGGTTCAAGTCCCAGCTATTCCACATCCAATCCAGCTCTCTGCTGTGGCCTGGGAAAGCAGAAGATGGCTCAAGTGCTTGGGAGACCTGGAAGAAGCTCCTAGCTCCCGGCTTTGTATTGGCCCAGCTCTGGCTGTTGCAACTGTTTGGGGAGTGAACCAGTGGATGGAAGAGCTCTCTCTCTTTCTGCCTCTGGCTCTCTGTAACTCTTTCAAATAAATAAATAAATATTTTAAAAAATTCCCAATGTGTCATAAAGTATTATTATTAAAAAAATCAAGAGAAGAGAAGAGAGAGTTCTCATATATTTGGCAGAGTTTGAGTGCTGGTTCACTGCCTCCCCATCACCACATTCCTAGGATGCAACTCAGCCCTCCGTGGGACAGTGTTAAGGGGTGGGAGCCTTTGGGGGCTTCTCTCACGGGTGGCGTGAGTGTCCTGAGAGGCTCATGGGAACAGGTGTTTAGCTCAGCAGTGAAGGTGCCCACGTGCCACATCAGAGGCCCACCTCTGGCTCCTGAGGCCAGCTCCCTGCTGATGCACACCTGGGAGGCAGCAGTGATGGCTCAGGTCCTTGGGTCCCTGTCAACCACGTGGGAGATGTGGTTGGAGCTCCCTGATCCTGGCTGCAGCCCGGTCCCGCTCCAGCTACTGCAGGCATTTGAGAAGTAAACCAGCAAATGGGCAGTCACTCTGGCTGTCTCTGACTCTGTGCCCTTCAAATAAATTAAAAAAAAAAAAAAAGGCTTGGGAGAACTCGCTTGCCTCTAGGGCCAGTGAGGACCCAGCTTTGCCTGCTGGGGCCTTGACCTTGGGGTTGGACTTGTGGGAAATGTCCAAGTCCCTGTGTAAACCCCCCTGGATGTCGCTTTGTTGCGGACTCCAGAACCACTAAGACACCTTGCACTTGGCAACATTTGTTGCAACTCACACACCCAAACCAATGCACTGTTGCTACTTCAAGTCCATCATTTATTTACAGGGGACTGCCATGACATTTTACCGGCACATCTCTTCAGGTCCTGGGACACTTCCTTCAATTTCCCTCTTGATGCCCTGGTCAAGTTCCAGGAGGACTGTCCAGAGATTTTGCATCTTCTCCTTGGGCCTCCTCATCCATCCAGGAGAACACAGAAACAGCAACCCAGGAACAGGGGTCAGGGGTGCACCCACTGGATGCCAAAGAAGGTCTCGTCAGCATTTTGGGAGGGCATCAGGGGCAGGGTGAGGTTGGTGCACAGCACGTCTCCGCGGGCCAGGGGTGTCAGGCGCTGGGAGGTGACGGTGCAGCCCTGGTGGAAGTGGAGGCGTAGGAGGCTGATGCTGTGGGTGGCTGGGGAGCAGATGCCGATGGCCAGGGTGGCACCGTGGGGCCACGTGGTGCCCATGGAAGAGCAGTTGGCCAGCGTGGCCTGGATGTGCAGCCTGTAGATGCCGTCCCGGTGGACACGCAGCTGCCCCTTGTCCAGGTCTGGTCCATGCAGGAAGGAGCGGCCCAGAGCCGGGCCTGCCTGCCAGTGCAGTCTGGGGTCCTGCCGAGGACCTGGGGGTGGCAGGTAGGGGGGTGGGAGGAGAGAGGGTTAGGGCCACGACCAGTGAAGGATGGGGGTCAGGGACATAGGATGTAGGGAGAGGGAGTTGGAGGGGCAGGGAGAGAGGGAGGAAGAGGAGGAGGGGGAGAGAGAAACCAGGAGATGGACAGAGAAAGACACACAGAGAGACAGACAGAGGCAGAGACTAGGTGGGGCGAACACCTATTGTTTTGTGGCCCAGCGTCTGTATGGGGTTAACCTCTCCACACCAGACCAGAGCTCTGTGGTTCCTGACGGTGGAGGTTTCCAGTCCTCCACCTCCCCCCAGTTCCGCAAAGTAATCGATCTTGAACATCTGCCTGCTGTAACGGCCCCCTGAGGCCACCCCACTGAGGGACAGCCAGCCACAGCCGGCACCGCCCCATCCCAGACCCCGGGTTCCATGGGCATTGCAGAGGGGCCATTGTGACTCCCTCCCAGCCCCAGCGAGTCCCACGGGACCCTCACCTGCCCCCTCTATACCTCATTAGAGCCCCAAGGACACCCAGATCCATTCCCCACCTGCTGGTGCCCCAGACAACCCCCTCCTCAGGGGCCCTGCAAGGTGGTGCCCTCCTCTCTCTGGGGTCTGAGTCCTAAATGGCTCTGTCCATCTCCTGGACTTTGCTGGGAGGCCTCCCCTGGGTCCCAGGTGACCACCACACCAAACGCACCCCCCCCCCGGTCCAGGCCAGGGCTCAGTTGCAGGTGGGATAAACTGGGCGTGGTAGGAGGAGCTACAGGGCATCTGCTCTCTGGGAGTAGTCAGCTCCAGGCCCTTGTGAGGGTCACGCCTGGCTTCGGGGCAGATCCAGGGTGCAGACGCATCCAGTGCACAGCACAGTGTCAGCATCCGTGCCTCCATCCCCGGGGTACCATCGGGCACGACTGGGTTTATAGCCACACAGAGCTTCTCAAGAAGAGGGAGGGAGATAAGAGAGAGATAGAGAGATGAGGAGACAGACAGGGAGATAAGGAGACAGAGAAGAAAGATAGCGATACAGAGACAGAGAGATGGAGACAGACAAAGAGACAGAGACAGGCAGGGAAAGAGACGCTCACCAAGAATCAGAGCCCAAAATGCCAAAGAGAAGGAACCAAAGACCCATTGGTTGCAAGCTGAATGGAACCCAGCACCCAAACCCCCAGACCTCACCTCTGAGGCTGTAACCACCCAGAAGCGGAAGAGGAGCAGAGAGAGGCGGGAAGGGCCCTGCCCTCCCGCAGGCAGCCATCGGCTGGAGCCCTCCCAGGGAGGTCCCCAGGGGTCCCCTTGACATGGGCCCTGCCCTTCCTCCCCTCCACCTTCCTCCGCCTGGACCCTCCCAGCTTGGCCATGCCTACGGTTTGCGTCTCCCCACAGCACAGGGTAAGCTCAGGTTTTTGGCCATCTTGTTCACTCCAGGGGCACCCAGAACCTTGCCTGCCCACGGGTGTTGGACACAGTGGTTAAGATCCCGGGCAGCCTGGCTGGAGTCCCCGGCTCCTCTGCTCCCGATGCCAGCTCCTAATGAGCACCCTGGGGGGCAGCAGTGATGGCTCAAGTGCTTGGGCCCCTGCCAGCCACGTGGGAGACCCGGATGGGGCTCCCGGCTTCCCTCAGCCCCAGTTGTTGTGGGCATTTGGAGTGTGAACCAGCAGATGGAAGATCCCTCTGCCTTTCAATAAAAAATAAATAAAAACGTACTGCGAGGAACTGAATACGCAGGGGAAGACGCCCAGGCACACACCTGCCCCATCCCTCCGTCCGTCCGTGTCTCTCTCTCTCTCTGTCTCTCCTTTGGGCGCTAACGCAAGCCCTCTCACCTGTCCCCGCACGTCGGCGCGCGCGCACTCACTGCGCACACCTGCCCCGCGTTACCTGAGTGATTCAGCTGCAGCTCCGCGATGTCCCCCTGGGGGAGATAAACAAAACACAGAGACTAGAAGACGTCAGCCCGGGGGCCTGGGGCGTCCCCTCCCCCCCTCGCCCCCGCGCCCCCAAGCCGGCATCTCCTCCGGGACCCCTCAGAGAGAGAGAGAGAGAGAGAGAGGCGGTCCAGGGGAGCGCCAGGACCAGAGCTTCCTGGTTTTCCTGGAAGTCACCGCGCGCGCGAGCGCACGGCGGGCACCTCTGCGCGGTCCCCAAGGCGGAACTTCCCGCGCCTCTGGGTACCGCGCTGCCAGCCCCGTGAAGCCCCCAGCGGCCTCGAGACAGCCTCGCCGAGGAGGGGCGAGGAGGCCCGGAGCGCACAGCGCCTCGCGGCAGTCCGACCTGCCTCTCTCTCTCCCCGACCCCATCCTCAACCCCTCCGCGTTCACCCATCTCACCCCCGCTCCTTGGCCCGCGTGCGCCCCGGCGCACGGCCTCTCCCGCTCGCCGCCGGCCCCTCTGCCCCGCGCGCGTCCGCTCCGTGACTCACCGCAGGTGGTTCGAGCTGCGGCTGCCGGTGCTGCTGCTGCTGCCGCGCGAGCCGCTGGCTACAGACAAGGCAGTGGATGGCGACGCCGGCGAGCGCCAGCAGCAGCGCGGCGCGCAACACGGACGCCCAGGGCAGGCGCGGCAAGACGCAGCCGGTGCTCTCCTCCGCCATCGCGGCCCGCGGCCCGCGCTGCATAGGCGGCGCGGGCGGCGGCCGGGAGAGAGGAAAGCTACAGCCCCTCCGGACGCCGGCTGGGTTTTGCTTGCCTCGACCTGCCTGCCCGGGGGCCGACCCGCCCTCTCTGGGGATGTCCGGCCGGGGTGGGGAGAGACTTGAGCTATTGGCGGCAGGGTAGGGAAATCCCCACCCCGCTGCTGCCGTCCCCCACCGCCCTGCTGAGTCCGGGAGGGGCCCCTCAGGCGGGGGACGTCCAGCCTTCCTGTTCGCACCCTCCCCCTGCTGGGGCTCATGCATTCATTCAACAAACCATCCCTGGGTGGGTGGGGGGTATTGCACTGGGCACCAGCCAGGGATTGGGAGTGGGGCTCCAGGTACCTCTGTTTCTCTCTTTCTTTCTTTTTACAGATTTATTTATTTATTTGGAAGGCAGAGTTATAGAGAGGCAGAGGCGGCGGGGGGGGGGGGGCGGCGGGGAGGACAGAGATTTTCCATCCACTGATTCACTCCCCAGATGGCTGCCACGGCTGGAGCTGGTCTGATCCGAAGCCAGGAGCTTCTTCCAGGTCTCCCATGTGGGTGCAGGGGCCCAAGCACTTGGGCCATCTTCTACTGCTTTCCCAGGTGCATCAGCAGGGAGCTGGATCAGAAGTGGAGCGGCCGGGACATGAACCGGCGTCCATAGGGGATGCCGGCAACTGCAGGTGGCAGCTTTACCTGCTATGCCACAGCGCCGGCCCCTCTGTTTCTAACTTAGCTGGCGGTCCGGTGGGGCCAGGAGAGGAGAAAAGGAGCCATGAGTGGTCACTTACCGGCCTGACCCTGGCACCTTGTGGTCCTGGAGACCACTTGTTCTCCAAGGCTGTCCCCGTGGAGCAGTGTCCTCCCTCACGTCCCTGCCCAGCAGGGCCCTCAGAAGACCTTTGCAATCTGCAGTGAGGTTCAGAGGCAGTACCTGGGCCTAGGTGATTGAGGCGCAATTACTACAAGAGGAAGGAACAAGGACTTAGCGCCCCATACCGGAGGGCTGGATTCTATCCTGGCTCTGCCTCCTGATGCCAGCATTCCTGCTACTGTGCCCACGGGAGGCAGTAGTGAGGGCTCAAGACTTGTGCACCTGCTACCCCCGTGGGAGACCCGGATGGAGCTCCTGGCCCCTGGCTTCCGCCTGGCCCAGCCCTGGCTGTCATGGGCGTTGAGGAGTGAAGCAGCTGGTAGAAGCTCTTTCTTCTGGCCTCCCTCACACGCACTGGAAGAGAGAGGGCACGGAGACGCGGGGAAGGGCGCCACGTAATGGCAAAAGCAGAGGTCGGAGAGATGGACGCAGAAGACAAGGAGTTTTCAGTCTCGAGAAACTGGCAGAGGCAGAAGGGGACTCCCCTTGGAGCCTTTGGTGTCTGGGGGTGGGGTGTGGTCCAGGCGGCCTCTGGGGAACCTGGATTGCAGCACTCACCTGAGGTCAGTGGCAGATACGTTGCTGGTGACTCCATTGGTGGGACTTGTTGGGAGGACCAGCAGGTCGAAGCCACCGCCGTGAGGCTGGAGGCGGGAGAGGCTACGCACACCCTGCATGAGAAACTTGCGAGCTTTATTTTTAGAGCCTGCAATTTGAAACTTGCATTAGAAAGTGAGGGGTGACAGTCACCTGAGTGGGGTGAGGCTGGAGAGAGAGCAGGAAGTGAGTGGAAGGGGCCGGCTCTGGCCTGCTGGTTGAGCCATCAGGCCGTGGCTAGGTAGTAGCTGGGTGCCTGCCACCCATGTGGGAGACCCGGAAGACCCGGATGGAGCTCCTGGCTCTCAGCCCTGGCCATTTGGGGGAATGGACCCGAGGATGGGAGCTCTCTCTCTTTGTTTCTGTCTGCTCTCAAATAAAGTGAGGGGGGAAAAAAAAGAAGGGGTGGGGGTAGGGGAGACTTGAGAGGTTGAGCGAAAAGCTGTGGCTGATATGGGGAGCAAGGGTGGGCAGGTAAAAGAGGGAAGGGAGGGGAGGGGCCAGCAATGTGGCACAGAGGGCTAAGTTTCTGCCTGCGGCACTGGCATCCCATATGGACACTGGTCCGAGCCCCAGCTGCTCCACTTCCAATCCAGCTCTTTGCTATGGACTTGGAAAGCAGTAGAAAATGGTCCAAGTCCTTGGGCCCCTGCACCCTATGGAAGACCTAGAAGAAGCTCCTGGCTCCTGGCTTCTGTTTGGCCCAGTTCTTGCTGTTGCAGCCATTTGGGGAGCAGACCAGCAGATGGAAGATTCTCTCTCTCTCTCTCTCTCTCTCTCTCTCTCTCTCTCTAACTCTGACTTTCAAATAAATAAATAAATCTTAAAAAAAAGAGAGAGAGAGGGAGGGGAGTCTCGCCCAAGAGCTGCCGAGTGTGTGTTTTGCAGTGTTCCGGCATGTAAGGAAGACACCTGGTCTTGTGTGTTCACGACAGCACTGCCCACTGTCGCCAAGATGTGGAATCAACCTGGGTATCCATCAGTGGACGGCTGGATGAAGAAGAGGCTGATTGCAATGGGGTGTAAGGACATGGTGGAATACTATCCAGCCATGAAAAAGAGAGACATCCTGACACCGGCGAAATAGACAGAACTGGAGGCCTTTCAGTGAAAGAAGCGGGACACAGGGAGACTCCTGCTGCATGTTCTCTCTCCTGGGCGGGAGTTACAAAAAAAAAAAAAAAAATCCACACACAAAAACAAAACAAAATAAAAAAAGACTTAGTCGGCCTGAACCTAGAATAGTGATGGACAGAGGCTGGGACAGTGGGGAAGGCAAGCTAGAGGAGGCGAGAGAATGGGGACAAACACAGAGAGACGGAACAGGCTCTGTGTGCCACAGCACTGTGGGTCTCATGGTAATGTGAGAACGAGTGGAACGGGGGCAGGCGTTGTGGTGCAGTATGAGAGGAAGAGGGAGAGGGAGAGGGAGAGGGAGAGGGAGAGGCAGAGGGAGAGGGGAGAAGACACTCTCCCGTTGGCTGGTTCACTCCCCAAATGATGACAACAGCCAGGGCTGGGCCAGGCTGAAGCCGGGAGCCAGGAGCTCCATCTGGGTCTCCCATGTGGGTACAGGGGCCCAGGAACTTGGGCCGTTCCTGCTCCCTCCCAGGGTTTACCTTAGCAGGATGCTGGGTTGGAAGCAGAAGCAGGACTCAAACCCAAGCCCTCTAATAAGGGATGCTGATGTCCCAAGAGCCGGCATAACCCAGTGCACCACGATGCCTACCCTGATGGAATCATTTAGTAAAACATTTTTTGTTTGCTTTTTCCATTTTATTTGAAAGGTAGAGAGACAGAGATAGACAGAGATGAAAGACAGAGACAAGGCATAGGGAGATTGTCCATTTCCCCAGGTGCCTGCATTTGGATCAGGCTTGGAGCCCCATCCGGGTCTCCCACATGGGTGGCAGGGACCCAGGTCCTTGAGCCGTCACTGCTGCCCTCCAGGGTCTGCATCGGCAGGACGCTGGAATTGGGAGCAGAGCCGGGACTCGAACCCAGACCCTCCAATAGGAAACGTGAGCATCGTAGATGTCATGTTAGCCTCTGTGCTGGAAGCCCGCTCCGGCTGAAGGCATTGTGGATGTGTGGGTGGGACGTTGACCTCACACATGGAGCCTGGGCTTTGAAATGAGATCCAGCCCTTTGGAGAGAGTCCCTCAAATGGTCTGTCCAGGGAGCCATGTGTGCCTCCCGTGCCGCCCAGCATTTTACTCCAAGAGTTTTACCTCATCAGCACTCCTGCATGCGTCCCAAATGCACAGGTGCACATGTAAATTCATCACAGCGTCTTTGTGGTGATGCAAAACTGATCCCCAGAGCCGCTGGCTGTTGAAGTCACAGCCGTGCATCGGACCTGGTGGGTTTCCCCACAAAAGAGGGCCAGCTGTTGTTTTTTTGTTCTGCAGGGGAGGTGGCTCAGAGGGGATCGACGCCCCACATGGGACCTCAGGGAGGAGGTGCCGGGTCAAGTTCAGGCTGGTAGTGCCCGTCCCCGCCCGTGCCCAGGGCTTTCCCCGCCTGACTCATCAGGGGACTCCGGGCTCTCAGCAGTGGTCCTTCCATTGGCAGAAGGTGTGCATCTGCTGGGATCTTCTGAAACAGGGCTTCCCCACCTGCAGGCTCTGGGGCTGGAGTCGTGGGAACAGACACCCCCCTCCCCGCCACCAGCTGACTTCCCACCCCTGGGTGCTTCCCTTCTTCTAAATCCAGTGCAGAGAAGACGATAAAAGGCGTGGCCCAGCAAGAGCACCGTGGTTTGCAGAGTGTCCCTGAGGGATTCACCTGTTGACGTGACGCCCCAGTGCGAGACGTCGAGGAGACAGACACTTAATGTGACTATGCTGGTTAAAGTGGGATTAAGTCAAGCCATCAGCCTGGAGCCCCATGGTCGAATCCTAGTGTGTGTGTGTGTGAGAGAGAGAGAGAGAGAGAGAGAGAGGGAGAGGGAGAGGGAGAGGGAGAGGGAGAGGGAGAGGGAGAGGGAGAGAGGGAGAGGGAGAGGGAGAGAGAGGGAGAAATCTTCTATCTGCTAGTTCATTCCCCAAGTGGCTGCACCAACCAGGGCTGAGCCAGGAGCCAGGAGCTTCTTCTGGGTCTCCCATGTGGTTACAGGGACCCAAGCACTTGGGCCATCTTCTGCTGCTTTCCCAGGTGTGTTAGCAGGGAGCTGGATGGGAAGTGGAGCAGCCAGGACTTGAACCGGCACCCGTGTGGGATGCCGGCCCTGCAGGCGGCAGCTTACCTGTCACACCGCAGCACCCCACCCTCTGGTTTTTGCTTAGTGCTCAGTGTTATTTCAGCGTCGGCACTGGCCGGTGCTTGTGTGGTCCATTCACCTCCTCAAGGACGTCTGGGCTGCATCCAAGTCTGGGCAGAGATGAACCAGGCCTACAAGAGGAATGGTGGTGTGTGTGGTGGGTGTGTGTGCAACTCCACGGGAAAATGGCCATTGTCATCCCCCAGGCCCACGCCATATTGCACACCGTGCCACTGGCAGGCGCAACGTCCACTAGCTGGGCACCGTCAACCCACCGTTGATTGTCAGTCATCGGTGTCATCAGTCATCTTCGTGTTGCCCATTCCAGGGGTCACTTGTGGTCATTTGAATGCACGCTGCCCTT